CAGCCAGCAATTCCTTCCCAATCTCCCATCTAACCCTATGCAAGTGGGAAGCCATTCCCTGTGTCCTGTCCCTCCATCCCTTGTCCCAAGTCCCTCTCCAGCTCTCCTGGAGCCCCTTTAGGCTCTGGAAGGGGCTCCAAGGTCTCCCTGGATCCTCTCTTTTCCATACCTGTTCCCAGGCAGCACCACAAAAAGGTGCCTTAAAACACCTCTAGAAAGGAAGTGGGAAGCACTGGATGGGAGAGGAAGGGGCAGATGTTGGGGAACATCAACTTTTGGGGTGTAACTTGTGCCTGGGAGTGTGAGGTTCAGAGTGCTGCCCTTGTTCTGAGAGCTTGTCAGACACACATGTAGAGTGGTCTGTAGATATGGAAATGTATAACTGATGTCCTGTATGTACCCCCTGGGTGCTTCAGGAGGGTGTGGGGTCAGGGTGGGTCTGGGGGCTCTGGATCCCAACCCCAGTCCCAGCCCCAACTCCTTCTGCCCTGCTTTTTCCCTCCCTTCTGTGCCAGGGCTGCTCAGATGGGTAATTAATGCAGCTCAGGTGGGTAATTAATTCAGCTCAGGTGGGTAATTAGTGCGTCTCTATAGCAAGATCAACTAAATATTAATGAGACTTTGTGGCTTGACCTCCCTGGGTCACCCCTGGAGGAGCTTTGCTCTGCTGGGCCCAGTGGGATCCTGCTCTTAGGCCAACCAGTAATCCAGCAAAACCCTCAAGGAAAGAGATCCCTAAGGGATGATGATCCTACACCCAGCCAGGGTGGGATCCACCCCAAAAATGGGGTGAAATCCCAAATACCGCCCTGAAAGAGGGTCAGCAGGAGACCTCACCTGCTTTGATTCACCTCCCAAATTCGCAGCAGGCTCCTCTAATATAATTCCCATTTCTTTCCTAACAGCAGAAGCAACTGTAGGTCATGGACAAGGAGCCTGGAAAAGAGCCACCAGTGACAACAGAGAATTGCCAAAGGACTCCGTGGAAAAGCAGAGGCACGAGCAATCCAGCTGTGCACACAGCTGGAACTCGGCTTGTCTCCCTCCTTTTCCACGGCAAGAGCAGCTGAGTGACCATGGGCAGCCTTGCAGGTGGCTTTCTGATGCCACCCTGTGCCTGCTGCAGGTGGCAAGTGACATTTCAGAACCCACCAGTAGCTCAGTCTGACTCAAAAAGCCTCTTTTTCAAGCCAATTAATTCATCATTCCGCAGGCTCCGTTCCCCTGATGTCTTTCCACGTGTTCCCGTTGCTTCCCAGGAGCAGGGATGTGACCACGGGGAAATTCCCAACCAGCACTTGGCCAGATTCTGGGGAGGGCAGCAGAAATGTCTCATATCCAAGGAAAACAACCCCCCCCCTCCATTTTCCTGCTACAACATCACCACGTTTTTGCCAAGTCTCACGTCCAGAGCTGCAACAGCCGTTTGGAACAACTGCTTAAACAAAGTAAAACACTGTGGATGTTCCCTGGAACTGGCCAAGGACCGGGACAGGGGGTTCCTCACGGGAAATTTTACCTGTAACTGATTTTTCCTGGCACAGTTTCCTCTGCCTCCAAGTGGCAGCTCGGACACAGATAATCCGATGTCTTCAAAGGGGCTGGTTGTGCTCCCAGTGGAGCAGAGGGCATGTGGAGATGACAAAGCCTTCAAACACTCCTCTTGCTTGTGGAGCACTCAGGTCTGGACAGACAGACAAGACAGGTGGGAGTGAAGCCACCAAGGAACATCCCCTCTCCATCTCCTGCCCCCGGGGGCAGCTCCCGGGGTACCCAGAGGGGGAATTTAATCTTTCCCATTCCATTTTAATCAGCTCATCAGCCACAGGCATTGACAGCAGGGCTGGCTAAGAGGCTTAGGTCTATTATTCCCAGAGGATTAGCCTTTTTGATCCCAGTGGAGGGAGGTGGCTTCGTCTCAAGCCTCGCTGGGGTTGGGGGTGTGTCAGATCAGCAATCACCTGCAAAACTGGCTCCCCCCTGCCCCTCTGTTATTTATTTGCCAACCCCAGGGGCTCCTTCCTTCCACTCCTGTGTCCTACAAATCCCTGCACCAGCCTCAGGGGCACCGTGATCCCATATGGACCTTGTAGGATGAGGGGGGGATCTTCCCAACAGGCCAGGCCTGTGGATTTGCCAGTGTGCCCTTATGTGTGTGCATAAAACAACAAGGCCTGACCCTAAAAACACTCAGGGGCAGAGAGGTCCCGTCCCAAAAGCTCCTTGTCCCCGTTTAGACGCCCTGAAACGTGGAATATATGGGCATGGATGGAGCTGGGGCGTGATGGTGCATGGAAATCTCCCGTGACAAGGAACTTTGGGGAGCTGAAATGGGGGATTTGGCTCTGCTCCCTCCTCCTGGGTGCTCATCTCACACGATGTGTCCTCATCCCTGGATGTTCTGACCCCCAGTGCCACCCCCCATCCTGCCTGTCCCCCATCCGTGTGGCAGCCAAGGACGGGAGCGCGGGGCTCGCGCGGTGCACGGGGGGGCACTATTGCTCCAAAAATCCCAGCCGGCCTCTGGGGACGCTGCTTTTCTGGGATGAATTCCCGCAGCTCTCCCGGCCACCAGGAGGGAGCCCCCGCGGGCTCCACAGACCCTGCATTGCCCCAGCCCGGTGCTCAGACGGGCACGGACGAGCCCTCGCATCTCCCCAGGGATTTCCCCCTTCCAGAGGGACGGAGAGGTTTCTGCCCCGGGGTTTGGGTGGAAAAGCCACGGTGGATCCTGCCAGACTGTCCTGAGCAGCAGCTCCCACGGGGAAGGTGTGGGGCATCCCCCCACGCTCAGGACCTCGCACGGGATTGACCTTGTGGCTTCTTCCAAAACCTTCCAACCCAAACCATGCCAGGATTCCATGAGCATCCCAAATATCAGCTCCTCATGAGTATCCCTCCATCCCTGCACAGCAAAACCTCCTCCCTCCCTGCACACAGGCTGCTCCAAGACGTTCTTTTACAAGGCCCCCAATCTTCCCCCCCCAACTCCGTCCCAGGAGGAGGGAAAAGCCTTTAAGGATGGTTTGTCCTTGGGAAAACAGGACACGGGGGGAAACAAGTGCTGTACAATGAGCTCTGCTTACAGTGGGAGCAGGGGAGGAAGAAAACAGGGAGTTGGTTCGAGCCCAGCATCGAGCTGGTTGGATGGTGCAGCTCTTTTCCTCATCCTGTACCGTCCCTGATCCAAGTAATTTGACTAATGCAAAGCCCTGGAGGGTGTGGGGCAGGAGCAGCATCGGGAATGTGATTTCCTGCTGCTTGAGGGAGGAACGGAGATGTCCCTGTGACATCCAGGAGATGTCCCTGTGTCTCTGCCGGGGCCTCGGGGTTCCTCCCTCCTGGGCTCCAAGCAAAAATCCAAGCGCTTAAGTCCCGCTTTTTCCAGCAGCAGCTGCTCCGGGCGGATCAAAATCCGCCCCGAACAGCCGGAGGGAGAGATGCCCCGCAGACAGGTCGGGAGGGTCACTCCTGGAGAGTGCCAGGGGGTCAGGCTTTTGGGGCAGCCGGGGGTGACCCGGCACCTGTGAACGCCGCGAAGTTCAGCACCTCCCCGTTGTGCCGCCGCGAATTTCTCACAGCTCGGGAGGCCGGCGCTGCAATTAGCAGTTGTCGCCCTTCGCCCTGCTCGGGGGACTAACGAGCCGTGGCAGGATTGAGGGGCTGTGCTCCCGAAAATGAGTGTTAACCCTTCCCCTGCCCCAGGAGCGCTGCGGGCTCACGTTTCCTCGGGGCTGCTGCCGAGGTCGGGTCACCCCGGGCACCTCCTTCATAGGCTTCCCTGGGCCACCAGGTGCTCCAGGGTTGTGCTTGGGGAGGAAAATTTCAAGGGGGAAAAAGGATTTGGAAAAAAAAAAAAAATTGGCTTCTGGTTTTTGCAGAATCACCGAGGCTGGAAAAGACCTCTGGGATCACTGAGTCCAGCCTGTGCCCCATCCCCACCTTGTCCCCCAGCCCAGAGCACTGAGTGCCACGTCCAGCCCTTCCTTGGACACCTCCAGGGGTGGGGACTCACTCCACCACCTCCCTGGGCAGCCCCTTGCGATGCCCGACCACCCTTTCCATGCTCCTGACATCCAACCTAAACCTTGCCTGGCACAGCTTGAGGCCACGTCCTCTCCTCTTGTCACTAGAGGTCCAAATTCTTTTAAATCCTCGTTTGGCCCCAGATTTTATTGCTCCTCCCACGAGCCAGCACATCCTTGGCCCTGCTTGCTAAGTGCATCAGTGCCACCATCCTCAGGCTTTGGGGACCACCGGGAAAGCCCCAAACCCCCCACC